CATAGTGGATAGGGAGCTGACCTCAGAGTCAGGAATACCTGGCTTCAGGTCCTGCCTTTCATGATGTTGGTTGCATCCTTATGATAAGCCATGTAATCCTATGTAAGTCTTTAAAACTATAACCTTGAGGGATGGAGCTAAGATGGTAGAGTAAAAGCAGTGACTTGCTTGAGTTCTCCCCCAAACCCCTCCAAATACCAGTAAAAAATGACTCTAGAAGGAGAGGATTCTGGGAAGATGGCAGAGTAGGTCAGAAAATTTTAAGTTCTCAAGATTTTCCTCCACAAAAGAGATAAAATAGCACCTCTGGGCAAACATAGAGCCATGAAAACAAATAAGTGTAGGTGCAGAAGACGGGTCCTCCTGGGACAATTGGAGAAGATCTGAAGAAAAATACTGGATGAGATTTCCTCCCTGTGAAGAATAAACACCTCCAGGCTAGGGTCCACTTGCCACAAACTGCTTAAAGGACAAGTGTCAAGCCATGTGGTTAGCTGGTTTGGGACTGTTGCCTTGGCCCCAGCCACAGGAACTTTTACCCCAGGGACAGTGAGGGGAGTTGGGCATCTGACCTGGGGGAGATCTAAGGAACTTCTGACAAAGAATACCAGACCCAGCTGTGCTGCAGAGGGTGGCCCATCCAAGAAGGAACCAGCACACACCTAGTGAGTGCAGAAGCAGTGGTGTGGGGATGCCTCTGCTGTGGGTACTGCTGTGGGAGGCTGGAGGCCTTGGTTTGATTTCAAAGCCAGAAGTGAAAACAGAAGAGGATTAGAGGCACCATCCCCCATACCCCTAGACTTTATATAAAAAAAAGTGATTATAAAAACTAAATTATCACCAAAAAATGCACAGGCAAAGGAGAAAAATCCAAGCATAGAGAGCTACTACGGGAATAGAGAAGATTGGTGTTTGTCTTCACAGGAGGATAATGAAGCAAAGAAACCCTTTTCTACTCTAAAGAGCAATGTCAAGTGATCATCTGCCCCAAAAGAATTCATTGAAGAACTTTAAAAAGACTTTAAAAATCAAGTGAGAGAGACTGAGGAAAAACTAAAAAGAAAAATAAGAATAATAGAAGAAAAACAAGAAGATTATGAAAAAAAAGTCAACCAATTAAAAAAGGACATCCAGAATCTTAAAGAAGAAATGACTCCTTGAAAATCAGAATTTGGCAAGGGGAAGCCAGTGAAGTTATAAGAGATGAAGAAATAAAAACAAAACCAAACAAAATAGAAAGAATGGAAAAATAGAAGAGAATTTGAAATATCTCATAAGAAAAACAACAAATCTAGAGATCAGATCAAAAACAGAAAACATAAGAATAATTGGACTATTTGAAAGTTTTGATCAAAAAAATAATCTTGATAACAATAATATAAGAAATAATTAAAGAAAATTGTCTTGAAGCATTAGAACAAGAGGGAAAAGTAGAAATAGAAAAAATCCACTAATTACCACCTGAAAGAGATCCTACGAAGAAAACTCACAAGGAATACTATAGTCAAATTTTGAAACCTCCAGATCAAGGACAAAATATTATGAGCAACAAGAAAAAAATAATTTATATATGGTGGTACCACAATTAGAATTACACAATACCTAGCAGTGGTAACATTAAAAGATTGCAGGTCTTGGAACACTATATATCGAAGAGCAAAAGAATTGGGTTTCTGGCTGAAAATATCGTACCCAGCAAAGCTAGGCCTAATTCTGAATGAAAAAAAAAATTATAGACATTTGATCAATTGTCAGATTTTCAAGTCTTTGTTAAAAAAACAAAACACCCTAAACTCAATAGAAGATTCAACATACAAGAGCAATATAAGGTACATACCAAAGACCAATTACAAGAGACTAAATAAGGATAGAATATTTACCAGTTAGGTATGAAAAATGTAAAACCTATGTCTAAGGTTGTTACTAGTAATTAGGTAACTTATAGGGAAGATTGGGGTAAACCTGAGTATGATATGACTTCAAAAAGTAAAACCATTGAAGTACAGCTAAAAGAGTAATTATTTTTTACAAATGAGGTGCAAGAGGAAGAACCAATATGTAGGAATTAGATGGTGGATGGGGCTTTTAGTTTTGGAAGCCCATTCTCATTGGCAATGGGTTTAAGACAAGAAAATCCACATACATTTAGAAGAGTATAAGAAATAAAACTCTAAGGGGCTAGGGAGGGGGGAGAATAAAAAGGAGGGATCTTTACAGGAAAAGGTATGGGAATAGGTTAAAAGGGGCATAGAGAAAGGGTTTAGATTTAAGGGAATGGGAGGATAATGGAGGGATTGCTGGAGTGGGGGTAGATTAAGTTATAGGAGGGTAAGGTGGCAGGTAGATGTAAAGTAGAGGAGTTAGGAGAGATAGGAAAAAAAGAGACATTCACAAACAGAAACTAAGATTAGGAGTAGAATCTCTTAGGGAAAATATATGTTTACATATGTATGTATGTATAAGTAAGATAGATAGATAGATATACATACACATACATATATATACATATATATATATAATTATATCCAATGGTCAATTGTAGCTTTGGGGTCATAGGTGGAGGGGGAGACAGGGAAAAAGAACACAGTGAAAAGTGTACAGCAGAGAACAAAAGAAACCTACAAGGAAGCAAAGAAAAGATGGACACCTGTCTACATAATGCACAGTATTTAATATATAGAGTTTCTTGAAATGAAAAGTTATTGCAATATATTTTGAATCCTCTCCTATGTTTTGCTGTGCATATGACATTTTAATATATAAAAAAAAGAAAAGATTTTAAAAAGGGGGAAAAAACTAAATATAAAAAAAATTACTCTAAACAAATTTTAGAGCAGCAGAATCCACCAAAAGACAGAGTGAAACAAATTTCCAGCCCAAGACAACCTGGATGGTTGATGAGAAAGGTCTATTTCACCAGGCTGGGAGAGGAGCAGAGTTCAGCATGGGTGTGCAGGCAAAGACAAGGCCCCAGCGAACCTGGAGCAGGCCTCAGGGGACTGAATCATAGGCAGCTGTGGTGGTTTCCAGATTTCTCAACCCATGAACGCCAAAGACAACTTAGAAGGTCAGTGGGAGAGGTCTGTCAGACCTGGGTGAGAGAGGAGTGTGGTCCAGCCCCAGCAGCATCAGGGTGGTGGCTGCTTCCGGTGCTCTCAGCCCACAGACGGTGGTGGCTTCGAGCAGCTGATCAGAGAGGGATTGCAGAGATCTCTTTGCTGGTGCTGAGACAACATTCTCTTGCTTCACCCATGCTTGGATCTAGGTCATAGTTCTGGGTGGCATTTCTGGGGCAAGAAGGAGTGTTGGTGTGGTGGAGCTTGTGGAGGAGGCACAGAGAGAATCCTCCTCACAGTTCCAAGGCAGGAAAGAGTGCTTATGGTCAAGAAAGGAGTAAACACCTCTCCTTTCATCATACCACTCAGAAGAACTGAAAATTTACAGGTCCCTCTGAAATTCAAGTATCTCTGAAAATAGCTGCACAAAATCCTTGAAACTTAGCTGGAAGCAGACCCCTACCTTAACAAAGAGTTAAAAAGTCAAATAATTGTCTGGGAACATGAGCAAACAGCAGAAAAAACTCAGACTATAAAATCTTATTTTGGTGACAAAGAAGATAAAAATATACAACCAGAAGAAGACAACAAAGTCCAAGTTCCTACATCCAAAGCCTCCAAGAAAAATATGAATTGTTCCTAGGCCATGGAAGAGCTCAGAAAGGATTTTGGAAACCAAGTAAGAGAAGTAGAGGAAAAATTGGGAAGAGAAATGAGAGTGATGCGAGAAAATCATGAAAAACAAGTCAACAGCTTGCTAAAGGAGATTCAAAAAAATGCTGAAGAAAATAACACCTTGAAAATAGACTAACCCAAATGGCAAAAGCAGTCTGAAAAGCCAATGAGGAAAAGTATGCCTTAAAAAGCAGAATCAGCCAAATGGAAAAGGATGTCCAAAAGCTCACTGAAGAAAATAATTCCTTAAAAATTAGAATGGAGAAATTGAAAGCTAATGACTCTATGAGGAAATCAAGAAATCGAAACAATAACCTGGGGCAGCTAGGTGGCACAGTGGATAGAGCACTGGTCCTGAAGTCAGGAGTACCTGAGTTCAAATCCAGCCTGAGACCAAACACTTGACACTAATTAGCTGTGTGACCCTGGGCAAGTCACTTAACCCCAGTTGCCTAAAAAAACCAAACAAACAGCTATAACCTTCTGAGAAGATGCCAATCTACATGGGTAGGGGAGGTTCCTGATTGAGAAGCTGTTACGTTGCTATCACAGATCTAATCTAAGGAAAATAGAAAGGGGAAAATGAGAGGTTCAAAGAAGAAATAGGACCACTGCACAAAATAGATAGGATAATTTTAACAGACCACAATGAAAAGGCAGAAGTAGTTAACTGTTAGTTTGCTTCTCATTTCTTTGTTAAGGAAAAAGATCTTTAGACTGAAAGAACAGAACGACAATGATTAATTCAGTATTAACATAAAAAGTAAATGAGAAAATAGTAAAAAACCCACACACCTCACTGTCCTTGGTGAGTTCTTCACCAGACCTAAATGAACTACCACCCAGGGGTGAACAGGAATGAACTGGCTGATGTGATTGCTCAACCATTATATTAGCGTCCTAGGCTCAGGGGGCAGCTAGGTGGTGCAGTGGATAGAGCACCGGCCCTGAAGTCAGGAGGACCTGAGTTCAAATCTGGCCTCACACCAAATACTTGACACTTACTAGCTGTGTGACCCTGGGCAAGTCAATTAACCTCAATTGCTGGAAGAAAAAAAATAGAGTCCTAGGCTCTGAGTGTAATGGATAATTAGGGGAACCCCTCTTGATTAGCCCTGAATCATCTCTGTTAAAGTCCACTGGATGGAACATGCTTGGAGGTGAACCTTTTAGTGCCATATGTTATGGTTAGAGCTGGGTGGCTTCTGGTGACTTATTGCCCTACCCCTTTCCTAGTGGGCCACATGAGTTTTGGCTCAGCACTGAAGTGCTTGGCACTTTGGGGTGCTATAGTGGCAGGGCTAGGTCAGAAGCAAGGCCTACAATCAAAACTGCATCAGAGAGGATGGGCCATAGCACCAGGAAGTGCCATCCATTCAGTAGATCTTAAAGGGAATGATTCCATCTTCTAGACCTTTCTCTTCCCATATACTGAACATATCAAGATTTTTGAACCTCCTTCTTGATTTCCTGTGGCAGAAATTGCCAATCGAAATGTACATGGCAGCCAACACATGTGCTGGCCTAAGTGAGAGTAAGTCATATTCTCAAAACCTTAGCTCCTTCTTATGCTTTGTGCTTTTTAACTGAATGTAAGTGACTCAACAGTGATGCCATGATAGACATTTCCAGTCTTGGAGGCAACCTTGTGGGTTTGGAAGTTCCAGGGGCCCCTCAAGTGGTATGAGCTGCACTACAAGAACTACCCCCTACAGCTACTACAATGTTTTTTGAAGAAGATGATTACTGATGGTAAGAGGAGTTCACCTCTGGCCGGACTTGCCAAACAATAAGGACCTTAGGGGTGACAGTGCAGATCTTAGGTGAATGTGAAATGCCCATTCAACAGTATCACAAAATGTGTCATGTTTTGGTATTTTAATTATCAGTTTCATAGGAGGGCATAACAGTAGTTAAAAGTCATTGCTATATTCTTAAATCTTTAAATCTTTGTAAATACGCCTTTAAAAAAAAGCATTGAGTACTTCGTCTAGAATCAGAAAGAACCAAGTTCAGATCCTGCCTTAGAAACTTACTAGCTATGGGACCCTAGGGAATTCACTTAACCTCTGTTTGCCTCAGTTTCTTCATCTGTAAAATAGGGATAATAATAGTACTTACCTCCTAGGGCTGTTGTAAGGATCAAATGACATAATTGTAAAGCACTTAGCACAGTGTCTAGCAAATTGTGAGCATTATATAAATGTCAGCTCTTAGTATTAGTATTACGTGGAAGAAATAAAGAGCTGTCCTATTGACGTTATACCTTGAGTACCTTTCTACTCTACCCCATTTGGGGAGACTTTATTGTTGTTGTTCAGTCTTTTCAGTTGTATCCAACTCTTTATGACCCCATTTGGTATTTTTTTTGACAGAGATACTGGAGTGGTTTGCCATTTCCTTCTCCTGCTCATGTCACCGATGAGCAACTGAGGCAAACAGGGTTAAGTGACTTGCCCAGGGTCACACAGTTAGTACATGTCTTCTTGAGCTAAATCTAAATATTAAATGATTTTCCCTCTGGGGAAGGGATATAAAGAACTGTAGAGTGAGAGGAAAAAAGTCTAAACCCTGTCTTCAGAGGCCAGGCTCCCCTAGAACTAAAGCTAGTGTGTGCAGACTGGTCTAGACTTGAGAAGCATCCTGTTCTGGACTAGGCTGACTCAGGCCAGTTTCATCCAACAGTTAACAATAGCAGATTTACTTAACCATTGCAAGGGAAGGCTATTCAACAAGGAAATGCACTGAGAACACCTTGATTTACTTAAGCAGAGAAAAGCTCCTTTGCCCAAGGAAGGCAGTCCCTTTAGCCAATCACATCTCAAGAATGGTTGTAATAGGTCAAGAGGAAAAAAAAACCAGCAAAAAACAAAAACAACCCAGCCTAAATTGTATGGGGGAGGCAGTTAGCTTGGCATATTGCTCCTACTTGGTGGTAGAAAGAGACAGTGAGGAGGAAAGGAAAGGGAAAGGGAAAGGGAAAGGGAAAGGGAAAGGGAAAGGGAAAGGGAAAGGGAAAGGGAAGGGAAGGGAAGAAAAAGAAAGTCAATTTATGTAAACCTGAAACTGATCTGACATAATCTTGAATGGGTTTAAGTGCTGGCTATCTAAAACCCAACAAAAATCCTGTGTCCCACATACTAGAAGAGTGAGCAAAGTTCATTAGTGTTGAAATCACCTTCCCCAGAAGTGGGTGGAGATGGTAGTTTACTGAGCACAGAACAAAGACAAGGGTTCCGAATGCTGGATTCTAGAAAGAACAGAAAAATTGCTTTGAGTCCCTTGGTCTGAGCTAAGCCATGGCAAGAGCGTCTGTGTGCATATACCACTTTCTTGTTTGGGGCTGGTATATTTTCATCAACTGTTATTTGTCCTTCCAAGCACGAGAGCAGCAATTATCACAAATGTTCCCGTATGGAGGCCAGTGGAAATACTTGACAATGCTGAATCTGGTGAGTCTAAGTCTGTGCTGCACCAGGGACCAATCTGTCTATTTGCTTTTCTACCATCTGTGCCTCCAGACAGAAAACTTTTGTTTTTAGATGAAGAAAAAAAAGCTCCATTATTTGAATCTTCCTTCTTTTCATTGCTTGAGACTTTTGCCATTCTGTTTTCCTAAACAATGTGCTGCAAGTAACTTATTTGGGGCAGTGTCTGTGGGGAGTCTTGGCAATCCAAATGTCAAGAGGTCTTCTGAAGGGACTGACCCAGAATTCTTCTCTGATAGTCCCAGGGAGGCAAGTCAGACGTCAGTGATGACATCACTGATCTCACCCTCGGTGCAGAAAGGAGTTTCACTCTGTGCAGCAGGCTTTTTAGCTTTTCCAGGGTACCGAGGAAGTCAGTGACAAGGGCAATGTATGTTGTGTAGGAAGTATAATTTTGAATGGGGGAAGCCTTCCATTTTTCAGTACGCAAAGAATAGCAGATTTACCTTGGAAATGGCAAACACACTTTGCCAAATTCAGCTCCCACTTTCATTTTTATAGGCTCTGTCTCCAACTGAAAGGGTAGACCTTCTGAGCAACAATAACAACAAAAATACTTTTTTAAAAGTGTGTATGTGGAAATCATTCCCATGGTAGTGCTTCTTCTTTTGTCTTTTAAGCTTTTCTGACCATACAATGTACAGCAGTGAACCATGAATAAATGACCAATATGCTTCATAAGTGTTAATTTTAAAATGAGAAAAGCCAAAAGATCATGGTGGGGAACAACTGGCAGACTTGGTTACAATTTAAGCATCTAGGTGACATAGCGGATAGAGAGTGGGGCCTAGAGTCAGTTCAAATCCACCTCAGACTTGTATTAGTTGTGTAACCCTGCACAAGTTATTTAGTTTCTGTCTGCCTCAGTTTACTCAGCTGTAAAATGAGGATAATAATAGCACCTATTTCATAAAGTTGTGGTAAGTCTTAAATGAGATGATATTTATAAAGAGCTTCGCGCAGTGCCTGGCTTAACAAATGCTTGTTCCCTTCATTATAGCATGGCAAGGAATTCTGGAACACCCCACAAAGGACTTAGAACTAGGTTCACATTATCTTAGTTTGGGGCTTGGAAGCAAAGTTTAGAGCCCTAGTTAATCCTGCTACCAATTTAGAAAGGGAAGGTTTTCAGAAAACTTCATTTTGCCAGAGAAAATGAAGCACAAAATTTTCAAGTGGAGGGAGGTAGGAGGGCTTGAGATCTGAAGGCCCTCAAGGTGACATCCCATTCTCCCTTGCCAAACTGGTGGAGTTTGTCTTGGGTGAAGAGAGTCCTTTAGATTCCTGAGGGGCTTGGCAGATTGCATTTTGAATGCAGCTGCAATGTGTTTGTAAATATCAAAGCTGCTGCTTGATTTAATCACAGAATTTGCTCAAAAAAACCACATTGTTTTTATAGAACTACAGCAACACACAGTAGAAAACTAAGCAACATGCATCTGTCATGTTGTATTTTTGAGAATGGGGAGTAGAAGCTGGAGGAAGGGCTATGTCTGGGGGCTAGGAGTGGAGTTCAGATTTAATTCTTGTTCTAGTTTGGATGTCTCTCTATTAAGTCAAAGTCTAGTATTCAAAACCAACCTTCTCATTATAGCCCCAAGCTTATCCCTTTCTATTAGTAGAGCCACAATGCTCTGGTGCCCTCTTTCCCCTTCCCTTATCCAATCAGTCCGGAAATCCTATTGTTTCTTGCAAATGTCTCTTGGCTTTATTCCTTTTCTTCTTTATTCCCAGTAGCACCACCCAAGTCCATTTGGCAGGCTCCATTCCTGAGGTCCCACCCCTCATTATGTCACACCTTTTGCATTAGGCTCCATACCAGTCTCTTTGTCTCCACTCCCTCTCTGTTCTAACCTAACCCACATATTGAGGCTAACCTCATCTATTATGATGCTTTAACTGCTTTACTCTTGCCATCTCCTTACTCAAGGACCTACTGGGGCTCCCTCCTGTCTACTGGATCAAAATCAAACTCATGTTATGCAGGTCTTCATATGGCCCCACCCTACCTGTTCAATGGGAAAATTCTAACAAGAAAATTCTTTTCTCTTCAGGGCTGTCATCTCACAGTTGCAAAAAAAATGGCATCTTTGAATTTCTAAAGTTCTTGTTATTGTGCACTATACAATTTAGCAACTGGTAACAACTTGCCATTGTCTGGTTGTTTTTTGGTCATCCCCAACAACTTAACTGATAGTTATTAAATGCAGACAAAATTGAACATCATTTATGTTCAAAGCTAGGTGCTAGGTGATAAGAAGAATGTAAAGAATAGGTCCTCATCCTCCAGGACCTGAGCAGATTGAGGCCAGCTAATAAGGTCCTTCAGCTCCCCACTTCCATCTCCATATCTCAAAACCCTTCTCTCCCATCTCCTCTAAGACCTTGCCTCAGCAGTCATCCTCTGTTCCATACATCTTCAATCTCTCCTTTGCATGAGTCTTCCAACATGTTTAACTCTTAACTGTATTTCATAATTATCATTCCATCTGTCTTCTTTTCTTCACTCCTAAACTCCCTTTAAAAATCCTCCTCTAGGGGCAGCTAGGTGGCACAGTGGATAGAGCACTGGCCCTGAACTCAGGAGTACCTGAGTTCAAATCCAGCCTCAGACCAAACACTTGACACTTACTAGCTATGTGACCCTGGGCAAGTCACTTAACCCCAATTGCCTAAAAAAAAAATCCTCCTCTCCTAATGCCTCTATGTCTCTACTACACACTCCATGTTCAGCCCCTTGCAATCTATTGTACACATTCACAACTCTACTGAAATTACTTTCTTTTTTTTAAGTATTTCATTTTTATTTTCCCCCAGTAACATGTAAAAACAATTTTTGACATTTGTTCTAAAACTTTGAATTCCAAATTCTCTCCCTTCCTCCCTCCCCAACCCACCTCATTGAGAAGGCAAGCAATTCAATATGTTATTCATGTGTAGTCATGTAAAACATATCCATAATAGTCATGTTGTAAAAGAAAACATAGAAGAAAAAAAAACCTCAAGAAAAATAAAGTAAAAAAAAAAAAGAATACTTCAGTCTATATCCAGACACCATCAATTCTTTCTCTGGGGATAGCTAGCATTTTTAGTCATAAGTACTTCAGAGTTGTCTTGGATCATTGTATTGCTGAGAATAGCTAAGTCATTCACATCTGATCATCTTCCAATGTTGCTGTTACTTTGTACACACAATACATTTCACTTTGCATCAGCCCATCTTTCCAGGTTTTTTTCTGAAAGCATCCTGCTCATCCTTTCTTGTAGTACAGTAGTATTCCATCATAATCACATACCACAACTTGTTCAGTCATTCCCCAATTGATGGGCATCCCCTCACTTTCGAATTCTTTGCCCCCAGAAATGAGTTGCTATAAATATTTTTGTGCATATAGGTACTTTTCCTTTTTTTTTTTCTTTTGAGATACAGACCTAGTAGTGGTATAGCTAGGTTAGAGGGTACGTATGTTTTATAGCCCTTTGGGCATAGTTCCAAATTGCTCTACAGAATGGTTGAATCACTTCACAATTCCACCAACAGTGCATTAATCTTTTGTTTTTCCCACATCCCCTCCAACATTTGTTATTTACCTTTTCTGTCCTATTAGCCACTCTAGTAGGTATGAGGTAGTAGCTCAGAATTATTTTAATTTGCATTTCTCTTATCAATAGTGAGGTAGAGTATTTTTTCATATGGCTGTAGATAGCTTTGATTACTTCATCTGAAAACTGTTCATATCTTTTGATCATTTATCAGTTGGGGAATGACACTCATTTTTATAAGTTTGCCTCTGTTCTCTATATGTTTGAGAAATGAGGCCTTTATCAGAGAAACTTCCTTCAAAAATTTTTTCATAGTTACTATTGCTAACTGTATTTTCCTCCATCCTATCCCCCCACCTTCTTTTATTCTATTCTCTCTCTTCTTTCACCCTGTCCCTCCTCAAAAATGATTTGCTTCTCACTACCCCCTCCCCCACTCTGCCCTCCCTCGAAATTACTCTTTCAAAGGCTGTGTTGATAAAATACCAACATCTCCAAATACAAATGACACCCTAATCACCAATTCCACAATCTTTTTTTTACAGCTTTCATCTTCTGCCTTTCTACAGAGTTTGAGTTTGAGACCATTGAAAACCATCAGAAGATATTTTATTTTTTTCTCTGATTCAGACACCAAAGTCTATTCGTTTTCCTTCTACAACCATAACCACTCCTTTACCTCCTTTTCTGGCTTCTCATTCCTTACTCAAACTCTTGTTCTACTTGTTTGTTTTTTTTGAAACAATTGGGGTTAAGTGACTTGTCCAGGGTCACATAGCTAGTGAGTGTCTAAGGCCGGATTTAAACTCAGGTCTTCCTATCTCCAGGGCTAGTGCTCTATCTACTGCACCACCTAGTTGCCTCTAACCAAACTCTTAATGTATGAGTCCCCCAAAAAATTATCCTTGTCCCTCTTCTGTCTTCTGTCTAAACTCCTTCCTAGATGACCATAAGATAATAACTTTAATGGTCATTTATTGTTGTTGTTCAGTAGTTCAATCAAGTCTGAGTCTTTGTGACTTCATGGGCTTATCCATGGGGTTTTCTTAGCAAAGATACTGGAGTGGTTTGCCATTTCCTTCTCTAGTGTGTCCCCATTTTACAAATAAGTAATTGAAGCAAATAAGGGTTAAATGACTTGCCCAGGGTCACACAGCTAGTAAGTGTCTGAGGCTCAGATCTTTCTGACTTCAGGCCCAGTGCTCTATCCACTGCACTGCCCATTAGATATCATCTAATTCTTCCTTCTTCTGACGACCCAGCATGTCCCTTGAGAGAAGACGAGAAGGTGTAAGAGAAGGTGTCTTCCATGTGCCCCAAAGGACTTCTCCCTGTGCTGAGTCTACCACTTCCTGCTGCCACCTCCTTAAGTGAGAAGAGCAGCCCAGCATTCCTCTGACCACTGGTATCTTCCTTCCACC